ATCTACACCTGAATTTCTGTTTTCACCTCTTAATCCCTGTCCACGTGGATGATAATTAGGATACATATTATTTTTATTGTTTTATTTTTATTTTTTGAGACAGAGTCTCACTCTTTCACCCAGACTGGAATACAGTGGTACAGTCTTGGCTCACTGCAACCTCCACCTCCCGGGTTCAAGCAATTCTCATGCCTCAGCCTCCCGAGTAGCTAGAACTACAGGCGTGCGCCACCATGCCCAGCTAATTTTATTTGTATTTTTTAGCAGAGACAGGGTTTTTTCCATGTCGCCCAGTTTGGTCTTGAACTCCTGAGCTCAGGCAATCTGCCTGCCTTGGCCTCCCAAAGTCCTAGGATTACAGGTGTGAGCGACTGCACCCAGCTAGGATACATATCAGTGCTAGTCTGTTGTGCTCACTGAAGCTAGTATCATAAATGTGTTTCCATGTTTCCGCACAGTCTGCATGTCAGAGTCTACCTTAACAGCAAAGTTGGATAAATTGGGGCAGACACTTCACTTTCAAAATAGCACTTTTCCATATTTCCTTTAGAATCACGAGGCACTTGGCAGGCCGCTGCTTGGGCTAGAATTGTATCATAGCAAGGCAATTGATAATTGGAATGGGCACCAGCTGACATCTATGAGAAGTCTTGTTCTCAAAAGAATTTCCTTTGAGGGTGATGCTAGGGTTCCACTAGTGCCTGAACAGCTGGAAATTAAAAAAAAAAAAAAAAAAGAAAAGAAAAGAAAGGAAAGCAGTATTATTTCACTGTTGTTAATATTGAAAAGAAAATTTCAGTGTGCCTGGCGAGCCAGACAAAGCTACAGATGCCAATTCTTTCTGTGCACATACCCAGAATGGTGAAGCTTTTCTGAACTGACAGTAAGAACAGGATACTCTAATCTTACTTGAGTATGGAACAACAGACAGGTGCTCCCTTTTGAGAAATAAACCACAGCAGTGCCTTCAAAAGAAAGCTGTGCCTTCAAAAACATAGTGATTCAAAGGTGAGTCTGTTTAAACACTTCTCTGTGCTGACTGTTTGTAGAGACATTTTGCTTTCTAAAGGGAGGCACTAAAATATGGAGTAGGCTTGTAAATTTCCCAGGAATTTGTTAAGGAAAGGAAAGAAATTGAAGACTTAGAGTGGATACTAACGTCCTGATGCATAGTAACTTCCTTAAATTGCTAAGCAGATAAGGTGAGATTATTTCATGTAATGAGAATTTTTTTTTTTCAGATGAAAATGAGAACCTCAGGGAAGACAAGTGTGAGTGTGAACTTTGTGAGCTTGGATACATTTCGAGAAAATGATACATTTCATCTTCTTTATTACTGTGATTGAAACTTTGATTCAATAATGTCTTTCAGATACCAGTTTGTTTTCATAAAATTAGACTGTGAATAAGTAACTCAAGAGCATATTTATATCCTTAACCTTTTATGATTAAAACAAAGCTCAAAACTGTTTTAAAATGCAGAAAGCAAACAGCATTTCTTTCTTAAAACTCTCTCCTGTTCTCGATTGAGACTTTTCTCAAATATGTGATTAAAGTTTTAAAAGAATTTCAGCAAAAGTTTCTGAATGTGATAACCATTTTCCTTCTTAAAACTTTTACTCTATTAACCTTAGGTTCTTTCTAATGAGAACTGACTCAGTGTAGCTTGAACATTTTATCTAAAGTACCTGTGCAATTGCTATTATCTGCCCTGTTGAAACTTGAAATTAACACTTCTAGCGTGCTTTTTTGATGAAGGAATCATTTATACATGTTGGTACAGCAGCAGCTATGTTAGTCTAATTTAAAATTGTAGTGGCTTTCATTGAACTTAGGGAATGATTGAAAGGAAGCTGATGGAATTTTTAAAAATTAAGTCAATCAGTGAGGAGGCTTACTCTGTGCAAGACTGATAGATTCTAAATAGGACTTGAGCTCGTTTTCCCACTAAGGCAATTAACACCTGCAGTTAAGAGTTCAACGGGTGAACAAGGACTTTGCGTAGACCCATCCAATGTCACAGCTGCCTGCTTCGACTTGTATGTGCGGAATGGCAAGGCTTTGGATTGGAGTTTTTCCTCGGTTTTTAATCTGTTCATTGGAGGGTTTATGAGTATGTGTAACTTTTCTCGGTTCTTCTCAGAGCTGGGGGCTGCTGAGTCAGTGTTACAGCTCAGAATCAAGAGACATCGAGATTAGCCCCATGTAAGCAGGACGTGCTGTGTTGATTTAGACCCCAGAACAAGGGAAATCTGACTTGATGGAAATATGGGATGACTTCTTCTGAGGAACGAATAAGATAATTTTCATGACAGCTTTGGATATATTGTTGATTAGTGAATAATCCCTGTTGAACCAGAAGAGAAGAGACTTTTTTTGTTATTTAATTCTGCCCTGCCTGCAAATATATTGGGGGTCAAGGCTTCACCCTATGCGTTTTAGGGAAACACACTCCAGTCCACAACTCCTGGTCTTAGGAGCTCAGGGTCGAGGAGAGGGTCATGAAGACGCAGGCTGACTGGCCACTGGGTGGGACTGAGGCGTGAGTGCAGTAGCACCCTCAGCTCGCCACTGCGTCACCTGCTTCCTGTTGGAGAGACGCTCATTCTTGTCAGGGGAGCAGCTCTGGCCCTAACAGGCCTTGAGAAACGTCAGGGGGGTTTTTAGCCTGGAGAGTTAGTGTATCCTATGGCTCATGAGAGAAATGAGACTGCTCTGTAGTCCCAGCTACTCAGGAGGCTGAGGTGGGAGGATCGTTTGAACCTGGGAAGTAGAGGTTGCAGAGAGTTGAGATTGTGTCACTGCACCCCAGCCTGAACAGCACAGCAAGACTCTGTCTAAAAAAAATAATAATAATAAAAATAAGAGCTCCCTGAGAGCCAGACACTGTGCTACATGTATAAAGGCAAGATCGTATTTCATCCGAGACTGTCTTTTTTATCTTTCCTGGTGGAAGGGCTTATGAGGAGGACCCTCATGGCTGAACAAGGAGACAAAGCCAGGATCTTCTATGGGCATCCTTTTTTTTAAATCTTCTTAAAGTGACCGGTTAGCTGAGAAAATAACTTGTATTTAGTGGGAGCTGTAGAGTCCTATAAAATAGGCATTGAGTTCTCTAAAGGTATTTCTCTAAAGAAGTACAAGGAAGGGGCCAGACGCGGTGGCTCACTCCTGTAATCTCAGCACTTTGGGAGGACAAGGTGGGCAGAACACGAGGTCAGGAGATCAAGACCAGCCTGGCCAACATGGTGAAACCCTGTCTCTACTAAAACTACAGAAATTACCTGGGTGTGGCGGCACATACCTGTAGTCCTAGGTACTTGGGAAGCTGAGGCAGGAGAATAGCTTGAACCCAGGAGGCAGGGTTGCAGTTAGCCGAGATCGTGCCACTGCACTCCAGCCCAGTGACAGAGCAAGACTCCATCAAAAAAAAAAAAAAAAAAAAAAAAAAAAGAGAAAAAGAAATACAAGGAAGGAACCTTATGTGTCATCTGGTACAGACAGTGGTGTTGGAACTAGTTCATACCAGCCTGTGAGAGCCCATTGCTGCATTTTCAGGAATGCAGGGTGCCAATTGGAAAGTGTAGCCATTGTTAAAATTAAGTGATATATATATGCTTAAACACATGGTGTGAAAAAACAAAGATAATAAAAATCTAATGATTTTTATGGCACGTCACTGTTTTCTATGAGCTGAGGTTATTTCTGTCTACTGTATCTGTGTGTTGGAATTACTAACAGTGTTGTCATGACAGTGACTTGAAATCACACACAGTGAAGGTATTTGGAGTGCAGCTAGACAATTTATGGTTAGAAGAGGCACCAGTTGACATCCATGAGAAGCCTTGTTCTTCAAAGGATTTCCTGTGAGGATGTTGCCAGGCTCCAGCAAATGCTACAAATCAGGCTTTTTCCTTCTAGAAAGCCAGTCGTTAAACATTCACCAGCACCCCACTGGGCCCCGCCCATTCATTTTTGTGTATGAGACAGGGGCATGCAGACGAATGGTGACTTATCCCGAGTCCTGCAGCCCCTTGTAACCAGCAGCACCAAGACTAGACTTGGATCTCCCAGTCTTTCTGTTACTCCATTCAGAGATTTTAGTCCTGAAAGGCACAAGCGGGAAAGCTTGGGTTTGCCTGTGGGCTCGTCTCCAGTGCTTTTCTATTGTTGGTGACCACACTGCAGGGAATCAGGTCATACACAAGAAGGGGGTTGATTAACTAACACAGAAATCAAATTCATTGCCAGGTGGGTGGTCATCTGCTTTCTGGTTACCAGCAAGTGGGATAAATGAGGAGGAGGCAGAGATTGGATCCTGAGCTCTGACCTTAGTGCATGTGGATACAATTATTGAATGGAAGATAAGAATGAACAACACTTACCACCTCGAGAATATGTTATATATGTATTTGCTAACTTATTTTACATCTCCTTCATTAGAATATAAGCTCCATGAGGACAGGGACTTTGTCTTATGTGCCACAGTACACCCAGCTCCCAGAAAAGTGCCTGGCGTATAGAAAGCACTCAGGCTGGGCACAGGTGGCTCACGCCTGTAATCCCAGCACTTTGGGAGGCGGAGGCAGGTGGATCATGAGGTCAGGAGATCAAGACCATTCTGGCCAACATGATTAAACCCCGTCTCTACTAAAAATTCAAAAATCAGCCAGATGTGGCACCACACACCTGTAGAGGTACATGGGAGGCAGAGGCAGAAGAATCGCTTGAACCCAGGAGGCGGAAGCTGCAGTGTTCCGAGACTGCACCACTGCACTCCAGCCTGGCTGACAGAGCGAGACTCTGTCTCAAAAGGAAAGAAAGTGCTCAGTAGATATTTTCGAATGAATGAATGAACTGGTCCTTCCAATTCCTGGTATTATACAGTGCCAACTCCCAGAGGAAGTTTTGCCCAGAGGAATGTGCCTGGCAGAGCCCAGCATCAGTGACTCTCTAACCCTTTGGCTGTGAAAGTGACTACCATTTCTCTTTCCTCTTAGATGACGGAGGGCCGCCGATGTCAAGTACATCTTCTTGATGACAGGAAGCTGGAACTCCTAGTGCAGGTAAATCACTTTTGGTCAACTTTCTAAGTTTCTCTGGAGACTGATGTGGTTTCAGACTTTGGTTTGGCTGGGAATGAAGGGGGAGATGGTAAACTGTTTTTAAATCTTTGTCTGTTAAAATCTGTGAAAGAATGGCTAGGACACAACAGGGTGTTTTGTGTGTGTGCTATTTTGGTTGTGTCTGTACACCAGCCTAAGGCATTCAAGGCCAGATGTATATCTACCCTATTGTTGCAAATTTCTAGAAAAGGAAATTGCACAATGCCATTAACTACAACATAACCTAAATAACTCTTGCTGTAACTAAAATTGATTTAGTCTTCCTTGCTCAGAAGGGAGAGAAAAAGCTTTGTTCTTTTCCAGTTGAGAATAAAGAGGAACAGTCTCTGTGCTCTGTCCTCTAAGAGCTAAGCAAATCCCTTTTTACCCATCCCATGGGTTGACATTGGCATCACCTGTGAGCATCTGGAGTCACTGAGATGCATGAAATCAATCAATTAATCCCAACTGAGAACACATCCATGTCAGTGAAGTTGGAGAAGTAACTGGAATCATAGACCCTCCTCTTTTTCAACTTGCTTTTAAACAGACCGTTGTTTGACCCAAAGCTCCCAAGAATGGTGTCTCCAATTCTGACTTCAAGAGTTCACCATTCCAGATCTGTTGTTCAATGCCAATTTTTATTACATTTCCTTGCTATATATTGTTAGATGTCTATCTCTAGGTCCCGGGGTGTTGTGTCTCATTCTCTATCACATTTTGCAGTGAAGAAGTCGCAGTTCATCCGTGGGTTGAGAGGATGCCCACCTGCTCAGTCATGGGGGAAATAATGCGACTTCAAAGGGGAAATTCACGTGCACACGCTTTTGTCTCGGGTTGCCTTGTACATGCTGCTTGGAATTGAAAATGATCAAACTGCTGACTTTGAGTTAGTACTTTTAATGGGATTCAAATTATAAAGGCTATATAAATACAATGGAGGAAACAAAATAGGAAAAGGCTCACAATCACATGACACTAATTCAAGTGCTGTTCTCTTTTGGGTGGATTTCTTTCTAGCATTTTTTATATTTATATTCCTTGCATGGCTATAATCATATGTGTAATTCCACGTATCTTATTTTTCTACTTAATATTGTCTTTCACTAACATTTTCTAAGTTACTGTAATTTATCATTTTTGTGAACAGCTATATAAATTATAGAAATTGATATACCATTATTATCTAATCGTTCCCCCATTTGAGTATATTTAAGGGATTTTTAAAAGACAGTTTTCCTAGCTGGGTGCAGTGGCTCACACCTGTAATCCCAGCATTTTGGGAGGCCAAGGTGGGTAGATCACAAGGTCAGGAGTTCGAGACCAGCCTGGCCAAGATGGTAAAACTCCATCTTTACTTAAAAAAAAAAAAAAAAGACAAAAATAAGCTGGGCGTGGTGGTATGTGCTTGTAATCTCAGCTACTTGGGAGGCTGAGGCAGGAGAATCACTTGAACCATTGAGGCAGAGGTTGCGGTGAGCCAAGATCGCACCATTGCACTCCAGCCTGGGTGACAGAGCAAAACTCCGTCTTGGGGGGAAAAAAAAAAAAAAAAAAAAAAACAGTTTTCCACTATTACAGGTAAATGCCGTGAGTAACATATCCCCATATACAGGGTTCTCCTGCATTTTCAATTACGGCCTTTTTAGGCTGGATTCCATGGCCTAAAGTCATTAAAAGTCAAGCTTCTGGTTTGAATTTGGAGGAATGAGGCAATAAAGGGAAACCATCAAGTTGAGTGAGATCTCTTTAATTAGCAGAATCGTTAACTGAGAAACTTTTGAGGCTTCAAAATGCCAAGAATCAGTGTGAAGAGTTCATAGGTGAGTGGTGTGGTGTATTTTACATGCTTTTCCTGAATCAAAGCTTGGAGGTTTAGAAAGAAGCCACCTTCTAGAATGGGAATTTGAGAGCTCAAGTGGCAGTTCAAAAACTGTCTCTTGGCCAGCCTGCTTTGAGAAAAAAAATAGCTTTAATTATTGATGTGCGCAACTGTTTTGGAACAGTTATCCTCAACCCTATAAAACTAAGAAAATGTTGAATTAGGCGAATGAGAGAAGTTCACGTTTTTCCCACCGCTTTATAGAACAGGCTTTCTGTGTTATTCCCTCTTCCTGGAACATGCTCCTTCCCACACCCCCATGCCCTGGACCTGGCTGGTCTCCATTAGGTCTTTACTTCACAACTTGGAAGACACCCCATACCAGTGCTTTCCCTGACCCTCCCGCCTAGTCTGGGTCTTAGCTGCCTCTGTCCAGAGTTTCTTTCTTATGACATAGCCACACCTCACTGTCATTGGTTGTGTACTTGTTATCACTTCCTGGAGCCCCAACAGTTTGAGAGCTAGATGTGTGTCTCCATCACGGTGTATCCCCAGTACGTAGCCCAGGGTCAAGCACGTAATGTCACTAAATACAGACTCGCTGAAAGAATGGATGAACCATAAGATGTCTTGGCATTGCTTCTCCCAAAGACTTCTTGCCATAGTACCAGTTGCTTGGCAGGGGATTTAGCTTAATAAACACACACACACAAACACACACACACACACACACACACACACACACACACACACAATCTGTCTATATAGATAGATAGATACACATACTATCTATATATATACATACAATCTATCTGTACATTGATATACACTCTCTATGCATAGAGACACACACTATACATTGATAGTGTATCTACCTATGTATAGATAGAAATGGTGTGTGTGTTAAGCTAAATACATATATATTTATTTATTTATATATATGGAAAGATTCTAAATTTAATTGCTGAATGAGCTTCAGCAAAACGCGGAGAAACAAAAATTAAAACTACTGAATAAAAGACAGCTTAAATATATCACTCTTTTTTCCTCCTCTGCAAAATTCTGTTGCCCAGGATTCTGTCAGGCAGTATCCTTTCTAAAGGGAATCTGGATTCTCTACCTCATCTGGACCCACCTCTAGGTTTTTAGTAAAACAATTTGACCTATACTATTCTTTTTCATATTTTACATTCATAGAGTGATAGCCCTCAGGTTCATTTATACTTTAGTCATCAAAATATATCAAACACTGAGACTGATGTTGTTGTTAAGAATAATTTCAGAGTATTTGTAAGAAGCCTTAGATGAGACTGGCCGCAGTGGCTTATGCCTGTAATCCTAGCACTTTCAGAGGCTGAGGCAGGCAGATCACGAGGTCAAGAGATAGAGACCATCCTGGACCACATGGTGAAACCCTGTCTACTAAAAATACAAAAATGAGGCGGATGTGGAGGCATGCACCTATAGTCCAAGCTACTTGGGAGCCTGAGGCAGGAGAATTGCTTGAACCTGGGAGGTAGAGATTGCAGTGAGCTGAGACTGCACCACTGCACTCCAGCCTGGGTGACAGAGTGAGACTTTGTCTCAAAAAAAAAATAAAAAATAAGTTTTAGATGAGGCCGTGGCTTTCCTGATCTTTTGGCCTGGAGCTGTAAATAGGGGGATGGGTGGAAAAGACACCTCCATTGACCCGACAAGGTTTGTAACATGGAGAGTCAGGTTCAGAGCAAGTGTTTCTGTCCCCCAGAGAAAAAATGGGTTTGCATGAGGGTAACTGACTGAAAGACATTAATAAGATGGAGCAGATCATGGAGATTAGTTTTTAGGCACAGTTAGGATAGGAGACTCATCAAAGGCTGCACCTCAGACCTTCAGAAGTGGGGGAGCTTCTGCGGCATCCGTGTTGGGCAAGAAAGCTGATGACGTTAAAATCAACTCCCCAGTTGCCTCTTGCCAGAGGATGCACTAAGCAGACAACCACGCAGCGCTGTAAACTCGGCCACTATGAGCGCAACATTTTCCTTCTCTGGGTTGCAGAGAAAAAAATGGCTGTCATCCTAATGTTTCATGCTTATTCCGTATAGCACTTTCAGATGACCAGGTGGAATCTGTGCTTCCAAATTTTCTGTTGCTCCGAGTAGATCACACGCTACTCACACTAGGGGAGGGCAGACTCATCCCTAGATCCACAGGCGATTTCCTGACACCACATCTTTACCAGGAAGCTCCTTAAGTCCTGAAATTGCACTTAAGAGCAGCTGCAAGATGGCCTGAGCCTTCAGCCACAGAGCATGCCTGCAGCCTTGGTTGTGGACACCGGCAGGTTGCATAGCTGGCTCGTCCTCCAGTTCAGCCTGCAGCTTCTGCTCTGTCTTCCAAAGCTGCTTCCACCAGTAGGAAATGTACTAAAAAAGGCCTTCATCAGGCTGGGCGTGGTGGCTCACGCCTGTGACCCCAACACTTTGGGAGGCCAAGGCAGGTGGATCACTTGAGGTCAGGAGTTCAAGACCTCCTGAAATGATGAGAGACCATTGTGAAACCCCATCTCTACTAAAAATACAAAAAAAAAAGGCATGGTGGTGCGCACCTGTAATCCCAGCTACTCAGGAGGATGAAGCGGGAGAATCACTTGAACCTGGGAGGCAGAGGTTGCAGTGAGCTGAGATCACGCCACTGCCCTCCAGCCTGGGTGACAGAGCGAGACTTCGTCTCAAAAAAATAGAAGAAAAAAAAAAGCCTTCGTCAAAATGAGAGGGGTCACCCTCATCTCAGTCTTGGAACTGCCTCCTCTGGATGCTGCAGCCAGATGTGAGGACCGAGCATGTCATGGTCAGCCCAGCTCCCCAGGTCTTACCCTGTCCTTGCTCCTTGAAAATTAATTTCTTCATTTTTTTTTTCTGACCTCCATGTATATTTTGGGGAACATTTTGAGCTCAGAGAAAGGGAAGTGTACTTTAGCCATAATGAGAATGATTTAAGTAAGAATTTCCAAACAGTGAGAGTCGCTAGATCGGGTACAGGAAGCCGTAAGTTGGGAAAATTCTGGACACTTTCTTTTGACCTTCGTAAAAATAGAGTGGATTTTCACTAGAATGGAATGGCTGAGGTGTGGCCCTTCCTTATTTGGCTCTCTTGAGGC